TAATACATTTTAATCTAATAATATCAAAAACTAAAATGCAATAAAAATCTCAATTTTGCTAAAAAATTCCTAGAACCCGATTTTCCTAAAAATTTACTATATAATAATATTTTAACTTCTTTAAATAAGCATTAAAAAATTCCTTATGTATTAAATTATATTATCAGTTTTTTAGATTATGTAAGTTTAAACATTTTAAATTTTTTATCAATAAATTAAGTTAAAGATATAAAATAAAATTTAAAATAACAAATTAAATTACTTAATTCTTTTCTATTATAACTTATAAATCTGATTATTTCTTTTTCTTACAATTTTATTTTTATAAATTTTTCAATAAAATTATATTATTACAACAGTTTAATATAATTTTAATAGATATAAAAATTTTCTTTATATCTACAATTTCTTGTTCTTCTGTATTACTAATAAATTACTTCTAATATCATCTTAATAATTCTTATAATAATAATATAAAAGAAAGATTATCTTTCTTTATTATTTAGATAAACTTGTAGATTTTTATCTATACTTGCTAAAGATGTAGGTAATATTATTATTAATAAATAAAATTATTTAAATCCTAATAAATTCATAATTTTATTTTAAAAAAAAATAATTTAAACAAATTTTATTTTAATGTACTATGAAGTTAAAATTATTTTACTACAATAAAGGTGTGAATAAAAATTATCTTCAAATTTTTTTATGTGAAAAAAAATGCATTATACATATTTTCTAAAGATCTTAGTCAACTAAACTAACAACTTAATTAATGACTTTATAGTTGATTGTAATACTATCAACTTCAATTACTAATGTAAGATATATCAGTTGTAATCTGAAAAAAAAATCAATTTAAGATATAATAAATATATAAAATAATTTAAAATTAATAAGTAAATTTATATTTATTTGTATAAATAATATAAATATTTAAAAATAACAAATATAATTATATTATTAAAATACAATTATTATTTATTTTAGAAAAATTTAAAAATATTATTTTATTAATAAAAAAATAATTAATATGATAATTAATATATATTAAATTACAATTAACCTTTATTTTAATTAAAGAACCTTTCTTATAGTTGCATCTTATAGCTTTTTATAATCACAATTATTTTTTTGTTCTAAAGGATATAACTATATGGGATTTTTCAATATACTGTAAAGGTTAACAACTGTTTAGGAAACGTAGTTGATTATTCGAATCACGTGAATAAATGAGTAAAGACGCAGTAATATTAACTAGGCCAGATGAACAAAAAAAAAATATAGTGGTTAAATAAAAATTTTGTTATTGGTATATATATAGAAATAATTCTAAATGCTAAAGTTAGGATAATATTACAAATAAGTAAAAGCGCCATTCTAATCTAATAACCAAGAAATTAACCCTCAGAAACTCATCAGAATATATATATATATATATATTTCTATATTTTAGCTCCTTTTACACCATACTTCATACGCGCATTGTGCCGTTAACGTCATGATATAATGGCGTCTCGAAATATAAGCCTCAATCATGCTAAGCTTTTTTTTTTTGACTTATGATAATAAAAAAGAAATACATTAATCATAATGCTCACCTTGACAACAAATTAAATACACATTCGAATATTTTTTTTTTTTTAAGAGAATAGAAAATAAAAATAAAATAAAATTATATAGTTTAAAGTATAATGATTATTAACAAAATTCGGAGATAAACCTAAATACACTTAAAATACCCTAACCTTTGTAAATATAAAAAAGGGTGGAGCACCTGTCCCCAAAAAATTTTTTTAATAACTATTAAAATTACTATAAAAGGCTCCTGTCCTTTGAAAAGAGATCTAGGTATACAGGACTAATTTTAAAATATTTATTTGGGGGAGAAAAAATTGAGAAAAGTGATGTATAAAAAAAATTATTCACAAGAAAAGTATATATCTGTGAGAAGTAAAAAGTGATGAGAAATAATGAATGTTTATATAAAGAAAAGAAAGGAAAAAAAAAATAAAATAAAAGAGGGGAAAAAAAAATACAATATAGGCATACACCAAAAATGATGATCTTTCATTCGAAAAAATTTTTATGAACCCTTATCAGCCTACAAATATAAAATGAATTAACTCTAACATTTAGATACAAATTAATCTTCAGAAAACGAAATGAATAATATGTTACCATTGCCTTTTTGACTTTCTCAAATTCTTTCAGCATCTTGCGCCTAGCTCCAAGAGCAGCTACTCCTTTTTGCTCTAGCTCAGAATCGTCTAATTCGATAATTTCTTTGTAATTCATTCCTTCAAATACCGGAGTATACTTGTGTAAACGAAGACTTCGTAGCCATTGTGGAATATCTACATATACATTATAAAGTTAGGTTTGTTAATTAAGATACGCATCATAAGGAAAAAAGATTATAAGTGGGAATAATTAAAGACCTTGTAATAAGTTAAAATCAACTGTATCATCATTTAGTTTTTTCTTATTTTTACCACCACCACCACCACCGCCGCTACCGTGACCTTTTGAATTATTAGCATGGTGTGAAGCATCACTATGATCACTGTGATAACCACCCACTTCGCCATTCTCGTCATTATAAGGTACTCCTACATTCGGAGGTGTTAAGTGAGTTCCTTTCCCGCTGCTAGTTGAAGGGCCCCAACCAGGATGAATGGGATACAAGCCACCGGTGGGATTAGGATTTGGTGAAGTAGGTCGCGAACTTTGCCTTGATCCAAGAGCTTTTGGACTTGGAATAGGAGATTGTTGAGGCGAACGAATATTTCCATCAGCGTCATACATCGCTAGTACGATATTGGCTGTATTATATTTCTCTTCTTGTACTGTAGCCGGAACACCGGAATTATTATTTTTTCCGTGATTACGACGGAATTTTTTAACGTCACTTTCTAAAACAACACGATTGCCAGAACTATTACTAATACTCCAATTGGTTAATTTTTTATTAACCAAATCAACGTCTGTAGCTTGCTTATTTTTGTTTTCTGCAAACATTGGTACCACAGGTGTAGACACCATACTAGCCCAACTACCGCCAACGAGAGGAGATAACTCGCCGTCAAAAGCGCCAGTTCCAGGTCGAGGAGAACGTAATGGAAAAGCTGCTGGGGTCCAAGGAAGGGCACTAAGATCAGCAGATTTCGGCCGACCATTGCTTGTTCGGTCTTTATTATTAATGCTGTTGTTGTTGTTGTTGTTATTGTTATTGCTAGTAGCACTAGTCGGGGCCCAAACCGCTTGATCTGTCTCGGCAACCATAGATTTTGGTCGTGATGAATATAAGGAAGCCGATCGATTACCGGTATTGGCTTGAAGTCTAGCTCTTTGCTGTGCAAGAGCGGCTGCAGGATCCGAGTAAATGGCGGCTTCAGGAGATAAGAATTCGACACCCGAGTGTCGATCATATAAACGACGTGGATATGTCGGACTTGTTGGTGATTTAAGAGACATACCAGCTAGTTTGGCTTCGACCTCAGCTTTTGCCATAGCGCCTGCCAATTGCGCCTGCATTAGATCTGATAATTTTTAATATCAAAAATTTTGGAATCAATCGAGTATTCTATCTTATATCAAATATATTTAACTGATGGATCATACAATTTTAAAAATCATAATTTCCCAGAAAAATTGTAGATGTGAAAAACGGTCAAAAGAGGGGGGAAAAAATTTTTTAATTTCTAAACTCACCTTTTTCAGGATTTGCCGGTGACAGAAGAGCTCCCATAGGGTCATTTCTTGCCATTTGCTGAAGCACAGTTATAAAAAATCGTATCTGTACTTGAGTCGAGTGTTGTAATAAACTATACAAAGCGGCCGTTCGTTCAGCTTCGGATAAAACTCGGAACCATTGTTCAATGGCACTAAGTTCTTCTTTGAAATTTTGATCTAAACTCGCTGTAGCCATTTCTTCAAGTGTTTGTTCGTAATGTTGAAGGTCTTCAAACCACTTGTCGATTGCTTCAGCTTAAAAAAGAAAAAAAAAATTGTGAATGTTTATTAGGAAACTATTAAATTTTTTTTTTTCGCTTTCCCACAGAAAAGTACATTATAGTTTTGCCAAGAAAATTTATCACTTAAAAGATTAAACTCGTTTTAATGCATAACCTTTTGAAAACTCTCTTACCTTCAGGTGATTGATATGTGTTATGGTTATTTGCGGAGAATATTTCGGAGGTTGGCCTTGAACTCCTATGGTTTGTCGGTTGTTGTCCCAAGTGAGATAGGTCAGCCGATTGTCGATACTGCGAGTTAGATCCCGATTTTGCGGGTTGAAGGTTAAATTGTTCGCTGACAGGACGTTGTGTTGTCATGATGGAAACGAAACTGATGAGCGTTCTTTTACGAAGGTTCGTTAAACTTGTTTAAGATGGCCTCTAAATAAAAGGTTGAAGATCGGTGACAGAGCTTTCTTATGAGAGTGATTGGAAAATGTAGAAGTGGGTGGAAAAAGGGTGAGAGAAGAAAGTACCTCTTTTGTCACCTTAAACTTATTGAAGAGCTTAATGGCAAAACTTCTACAGAGGACTAGAAAAAAAAAACTATTAAGAAACGTAGCATTTGCTATTATAGAGATTTCAACTTTTTTATAATATTCTTTTATTCATATATTTTTATCGCAAAGCTATAAGTTGATGATACAACGAGAATCTCGGATAAACGAAGAATTGGCGGTGAAAAAAATGAAAATTATAAATGCTAAGCCGCAGTTATTTTGCGCCACCTATTTAAAAATTTTCTCTCATATTATGATTATTATATTTTGGTGTTATTTATTTTTACACAAACAATTTAGATAAATTCATAAATTTCATAGATATTATATAAATAAGTTTTTACTTAATCTTCATATGAAATTTCCTTATTTCGAAATTTTTTTTTTTTTGGTGAAATTTGGCAATCAATGATCAGAATTTCAGCGATCAATACTCTTAATCGGAAAACGGTTAGACATCGAAATTTTTACCGGTTTTCTCTGGTTGGTGACAAACAATTCAAAACAAACACTAATATAAAGTACATAAAATCAATTCAGTAAAACAAAGACCTAAATTTTTTTTTATGTAGGAAATTTCGACTACAGTTTAAATTAAAAAAAAAATCCATCCCATTTAAGGGATAGAACAATGTACCACGAGAATCTTGCTAGTTGTTTGATTTGGAGGTAATTAACTCTCATTTGATGCATCTCATGCAGACTTAAAATAAAGGTGATCATAACATTGTTGTAATATCCGAAATACATCTCGAATATATGGAAGAAATCATCTTTTCCAAGATATATTTTCGTGAAGGAAATCGATCGAATTCGGTCGTTGACAAGACGTTTTAAATGCTATTCATGTTTTGATATAAAATAAGATCTTGTTAAATTTTACAGTTAAAACAAAATAAAAATATGATCACAAAAAATAATTTTTCTTGTTTCATCGTCATGTAGTTTGTATTTGTCATACCGACCACAAATTCCGGAACCTTTACAGCGTTGGATTATTTCGTCAATTTATCAATTCAAACAAATGGTTTCTATTTGTTTGTGAATGAACTTTTATTCTTTTGCATGTTGAAATAATAAAATTGACAGGTTTTGATTATCATATTATATTTGGTATATTTGATTATCATTCTGATGATTGGCCAGATCAAATGATCTATAAATTTCTTTTTTTATATTTCCTAGACAACTTAATGGGAAATTTTCAGACATGTCAGGATATACTTCAAATCCAAAGCGCAAACCTATCAGGTATATTAATTATATTATATTACAAGATAACTATTATTAACTTTGATACCATACATTCTCGTATTACTTTTGTATTATGAAGGATTTAAATTAGTTTATTAATCATTACCCTGATATAGGGTATGGGTTGACGGTTGCTTTGATATGATGCATTATGGCCACGCCAACGCTTTGCGGCAGGTAAATACTAGGAAAAAAAAATTTTTTTCTTTTCACGGAATTAATTAATTTTCATCATCATTTAAATTTGACAGGCAAAGGCAATGGGTGATTATCTGGTTGTCGGTGTTCATTCGGATGCAGAAATCGAAAAACACAAGGGACCTACTGTTATGAAAGAAGGGGAGAGGTAGTCAAAATTGGTTAGAATGTTTACTTTTTCTTTTATATTAATTTAATCAATGGTAATTTTTATTTTATTCTAGATATGCTGCAGTTGCGGCATGTAAATGGGTTGATTTGGTTGTTCCAGATGCACCTTATTTCACAAGTCTTGAGGTAATGGATCAACAGAACTGTGATTTTTGTGTGCATGGTGATGACATTACCACACTTGCCGATGGTACGGACTGTTATCAAGCTGTAAAGGAGGCTGGGAGATATCGAGAATGTAAACGTACTCAAGGTGTATCAACTACAGAATTGGTTGGACGCATGTTACTGATGACACGTGATCATCACAAACGTCGATCGTCCATCGCTTCGATTAATAATGAAGATTTAAGTACTTTTAGTAGTAGTGCATCAAAACAAAGTCCAGAAACAAAAATTTCCCATTTTTTACCAACTTCGAAAAAGATAGTGCAATTCTCGGAGGGAAAAGAACCAGCAGCTGGAGATAAGGTCGTTTATGTTGATGGAACTTTTGATTTGTTCCATGTAGGACATATTGAATTTTTGAAGAGAGCAAAGGCTTTGGGAGATTATTTGTTAGTTGGTGTTCATGATGATCAAGTAAATGAATTTTTTTTTTCATCAAATTAGCATTGATCATTTATCTTTCAAACGAATTTTTTTATTTGAGCAATAGATTTCTTTGTGTAGACGGTTAATGCAATTAAAGAAGTGAATTATCCTTTGATGAATCTTCATGAGCGCGTTTTGAGCGTTCTCGCTTGCAGAGTAAATATTTTCGAATTTTAATCATTATTTTCTTTTGTTTTCTAAAAGAAAAAGAAAAAATCCTTTCCTATAAACAGTTTGTAGATGAAGTTATCATCGGTGCACCGTATAGTGTTGACAATAACGTATTATCAAAAGTTTATAAAGTCGACATTGTAGCTCATGGAAATACTCCATCATTGCCCGACCTAAATGGAAAAGATCCTTATGAAGTAATGCGATAGTCAAATTTATATTATCATTTTATAATATATATATATATTAACAATTATTGTTATGTAGATTCCTAAATCACTAGGAATTTATGTTGAAATTGAAAATCCATCTGCTGAATTAACGACATCAAAAATTATTGAACGTATAATTGAACATAGAAAGATGTTAGTATTAATGATCTTTATGTAATTCTGTTTGTTTTTATTTTTATTTTTTTGAGTTTTTTTTTTTATTTATTTATTTATTCAGGTATGAAGAGCGTCAAGCACGAAAGAATGAGAAGGCAAAGTTAGAAGCTGAAGCTGAACGTTCAGAAAAGAAAGAATAAAGAGAATAGACCTATTTAATAATGAGAAAGAAATAAAAAAAATTTTTTTTCTCTAAGATTGAATAATATTCATTTATCAAATAAATATTAACCATTTGTTCTTATTTAATGACATCGTTTATCAGATCTAAATGCAAAAGATTTCATTGGATATTTATTATTTGATTAATCAATTATCATCTTTTGCAGAAATTCTATTAATTTATTAATAAATTAAATTAGGATTTTTTTTTTTGTTTATTCATTTTAATCTATAAGTTATAAATAAAAAAAAAATTAAATATTTAAGTTCATATCTTGTTATTTAATTGGTCTTAAATTTTATTTTTTTTATGATTATTAGATAATAAGTTATAAAAATTAAAAAATTGATATATATTGATAATTATTATTATTAGATACATCTTAATATAATGAATCTAATAAACTTTATTTAATTTTTTTATGTCATAATAAGTTTTTTTTTTGAAATACTTAACTTCAAGATATTATATAAACTTGTACTAATATGTTTCAAGAAAATGTAAACTTCATTAGTAGTATTATACGAAAGAAGACATAGATGATGATGATCTAAAGGATGACGTCAATCCCAAAGAAATCATATATGTCATCTATGTCATCTATGTCATCTATAGCATATATTTCTTTTATACAATATATTTCTTTTATTTCTTTTATCTTATTTATCTCATATATTTATTATATATTATTTATTTCATATATTTTATTTATTGTATTTATTTCTTTTATATCTTTAATAACTTTATATTTTTCATTTTATATAAATAGAGGACAATTTCTTTTAGCTTAGCAGTGTATCTGACTAATAGTTTATATAATAGTTTAGTTTAATCCTCTAATATAATTGTATAATACAGAGCGCTGACTGAGGTAGTACTCCATTGTTATAGTTATTAAATAAACTGTTAATTTACTAACACTTTTCTAAATCTAAATATCAAATTAAACCTTCTACTTACTACCTATAAATATTGCTTCACTTATCACTCATAAGTATCTTAAAGAACTGACCATAATAGTAGTCTTTTGAAATTTCACCTACTATAATTAAAGATATGTACAACTATATCAATTATACTTATTCAGAGACTATTATCTGATACCTAGTATATAAATTTATTTTATCTAGATTTAACCTTAGAATCTATTTAATTAAATTCTATTAGACTTAATTATTAAAATTAAATAAAGACTTACTATAGATATAGTAATTAATATTACTATTTTACTTATTATATTTATAGAGTTTAATTTTATTGATAACTGTTAAAACTTAATAAAATTAGATTTTTATATAAATGATGACTTGATAATTATAACATTAAAGTTATCCTAAAATTGAACCTAATCTCTAATCTTAATGATAACATAATCCAATCTAATATTATAATATGTAATACAGTTGAAATACTTCAGATTTTTTAATTATCATTTAATTACTTCTTTAAGAGATAAGAACTTTATCATTTGAAGGCATTAAATAATATCTATTAAAATTTTATTAACAAAAGCTAGATTTTTAGCTTTATTTGCATTCACTTATTTTTTAGATTCAGTATTTAAGTATGATTAATACTAATTGATGATATCAATTAACTAATTATTAATATATTAATATACTATATATACTCATATATTTAGCTACAATAAAATTCTATGAAAATCTAACTTTATGTTTTAATTAAGTCAAAATTAGTTTTAATATGCAATAACTTTGCATAATTTTTTAAATAATTTTATACTTATAATTTAAATAAATATATAAAATTTAAGAAAATTAAAAATTAAAATAATTAGAAAAAGAGAATCAAGAAAATCAAAATAATTAAATAAACTATTATAATATTAATAATAATATTATTTTATTATATGTTAAT